CTGGAGATGAGCTGGAATTCCGGGGGATCCCCAGGCCCCACCTGGAGGCTGGCATCCCTGGACCCCAGTGGGGGCACAAGGCCACAGGGTCCCCCCCCTCCAAAGCAGCCATTTTCTCCAGGGGAAACCGATCTCTGCAGTCTGGAGATGAGCTGGAATTCCGGGGGATCCCCAGGCCCCACCTGGAGGCTGGCATCCCTGGACCCCAGTGGGGGCACAAGGCCACAGGGTCCCCCCCCCCTCCAAAGCAGCCATTTTCTCCAGGGGAAACCGATCTCTGCAGTCTGGAGATGAGCTGGAATTCCGGGGGATCCCCAGGCCCCACCTGGAGGCTGGCATCCCTGGACCTCAGTGGGGCACAAGGCCACAGAGTCCCCCCTTCAAAGCAGCCATTCCCTCCAGAGGAAACTGATCTCTGTAGTCTGGAGATGAGCTGGGATTCTGGGGGATCCCCAGGCCCCACCCGGAGGTGGTCCTCCCTACAGGCCGTGAACCTTTTCCTCGACCCCGGAGGCCCTCCTCATCATCCCGGGACACACCTTCCAGGTCGATGCCGTTCTTCTGAGCCAAGCGCAGCACGTCATCCCCAACTCTGCCTTGGACTGGGATCCTTCGCCCAGATCGGTCGACAAACACCACGTTCACTCTGAGGCAGAGAAAGAAGCAGCCCGGAATTATTAGAGATCTCAGATCCACCCATTCCCCAGCCGGAGTTGGAGTCCAGGCGCACCGTAGAGACCCACACGGTTTTCGGGGTAGAAGCTTTCGAGAATCGAAGCTCCCTTCCTCAGATACAAGTGGGAACGGAGAATCCTGAACCCTTATACCTCACAAGTCTCCATTCCTGCGTGCGCAAAGCGCCGTCAAGCCACAGCCGACTTATCACAGCCCTATAAGGTCTTGAAGGCAAGAGAATTTTAGAGATGGGTCGCCATGGCCTGCCTCTGCGTAGCAACCCAGGACTTCCATGGGGGGTCTTCCCATCCAAGTACCAACCAGGGCCGACCCTGATTAGCTTCTGAGATCTGATAAAAATCGAGCTGCCCAGGGCCCTCCACGCCAAGGCAAGAGATGGACAGAGGTGGTTTACCGTAGCCTGCCTCTCTCTCCCATCGAAGGACGAACCAGGGCCGACCCTCGGCTTCTGAGATCTGGTGAGATCGGGCTAGCTGGAGCCTCCTGGGCCAGGGCCTCTAAGGTGCCGCTGGACTCCCATCTACCTGTTCTATCGCAGACCGACACAGCTCCCCTCGGAAACGACTTCCGGACACCACAAGGGACGCCACAACACAGCCGACACACATTTTTAGTTCTAAAAAGCCCCCTTTCTTTAAAAAAATTGAAACCCTGTAGGATCAAGTATCAAGTTTCTCCTTTAAAGGGATCAAAGGCAGCAGCTCTTCAGGGTCTCAGGTCAAGGTCTTTCCCATCACCTCCTGCCTGGTCCTTTTAACTGGAGATGCTGGGGATTGAACCTGGGACCTTCTGCATGCCAAGCAGATGCTCTACCTCTGAGCCACAGCCCCTCTTTACAGCTTTCCAGGGTCTCAGGTCAAGGTCTTCCCCATCACCTCCTGCCTGGTCCTTTTAACTGGAGATGCTGGGGATTGAACCTGGGACTTTCTGCATGCCAAGCAGATGCTCTGTCACTATGCTCTTGCACAGCTATCGCAAAACATTCTGCAGGCACCTACAACAACTGAAACAAAATCTTGCCTTCAAAAGCATTTCATTCATCTTCCTAAACAGAAAAGAAAAATCACAAAAGGCTCCCCCTCCTCCCATTTTTCACAAAATCTTCAGAGAGGCAAAGAAACCTTGTTTTTTGTTTCTTCTGTGTCTCTTTTTGGCCTTCATCTCTCTGACTCCCAGAAAGTCAATCTAAGAGTCGTTTGATGCCTGGGGGAAAAAAAATCATCGTACTCACATTTCCGCCATACAATTCTCATCTTCTGCCTGATAGGTTACTGTGGGGGAAAGAGAAAGAAATATCACAGTATTAACATTTTTCCAGCTTGAGGACTGCAGTGATTGTGGCATTCACTACACGGGGGTCCCCAACCAGTGTTACCTCTAAGCTGAGTGAGTGTCAGCTAGCTCACAGTTTTTTAGCTTCCGATTGACACATTTTTGCCTTCGCTCAGGAAAAAGGGCTCCAGAGCAAACTCATGTAATGCCGTAGCCAAATCGCTTGCTCACAACTTTAATGCCAGGAGCTCACAAAGCAGAATTTTTGCTCACAAGAGGGAGCATTGGTCCCGACATCCGTTGTGTCTGCCAAGTGTTTTTAGAAAGTGGGTTGGGCCAGGGGTTGCTTTTGGCCAGCAAGGCTTCTGATTGGCCATTGTAGATTTTATTGGCTGCCACTACAGCACAAGGGGGAGCTGCGGTGGCTCAAGTGGTTAAGACGCTGAACTGCAGGCTGTGGAAGGTCAGTAGTTCAGCGGTTCAAGACCCGGGTGCCACAAGACGGAGTGAGCTCCCGTCTCCAATTCCAGCTCCTGCCAACCTAGCAGTTCGAAAGCAAGAAATTGCAAGTAGATAAATAGGGAGCACTTCGGTGGGAAGGGAACAGCGTTCCGTGCGCCTTGGTGTTTAGTCATGTCAGCCACGTGGCCACAGAAATGTCTTCGGACAGCGCTGGCTCTTCGGCTTAGAAACGGAGATGAGCACCGCAACCCTAGAGTCGGACTCGACTGGCTTTCGAGCAAGGGAACCTTTACCTTTACTTTACAGCACAAGGATCTTCACCATGTGAGTGAAGGGAAGTTGTGGCAGCCATTTTGTGGCTGCACCCACCACACCGTGTCGGAATTCCAAAGGTGCTCGCAACCTCAAAAAGGATTGTGAGCCAGTGTTCCCTCTGAGCTGAGTTAGTGTGAGTTAGCTCACAATTTTATAGCCTCCAGCTCACAGATTTTTGTCTTAGCTCGGGAAGGATGGGCTCCAGAGCAAATTAGTTTCTGCAGCAGTCAGATCGCTTGCTCACAACTTTAATGCCGGCAGCTCACAAAGTAGAATTTTTGCAGGAAACAAGAGAGAACGCCTGAGATCTCAGATTGGATACAAAAAGTGCTGTTTATGGCGGAAAAAGACAAAATAACAAGAAAACTGAGTAACAAAGAAGATCAAGAATTTTTTGAAGACTGGAAAGACTTTAAAGACTATCTAGAGGAAAACTGGGATGTGAAACACAATTTATTGTATTTAGAACAATATTGATAGAAATGTTCTCTTGTAATAGAAGTTAAAATACTGAAGTAAATATATGAAGTGTAAAGGGAAAAAGGGTTGAGCACTGTGAGAAGCCATTAGTAAGGGTAGGGGGAAGGGAAATATGGGTATTTGAAAAGTGAAACTATATGTTAAATGTGATATTATATCCCAAAATAAAAGTTTTGTGGGGGAAAAAACAAAGTAGAATTTTTGCTCACATGACTCCACAGCTTAGAGGGAGCATTGATTGGGACCCCTGCACTGCATGATTCTCCAGCACACCACCCTGGGAATTGCACTGTGTGGGCTAATAAACTGCGGGGGGGGGGGCTCCATCTCCAAGTGACCCACGATTTTTGACTCCTGATCTTTCAGTGACTCACGCAGGGTAGATCGACCTTCTTAAACACGCAAGGATTGTTTGTGTGTTACCAAAAGAGGAAAATGGAAAAACTACCTGTTCAAAAGGTGAAATAAATCTATATGGATAAATACTGCCGAACCACAAGATCCATGCACCAGAATTTCTAGGTAAGGACCAAAGTGGAGCAGGGGAAATCACACAGGATTTGAAAGCCGGGGATATTATGCAGGAAGGAAGCATAAGAAGAAAGACCAGTTGCCAGCTCCAGTCTGGGAAGCTCCCGGAGATCTGGTGATACAGCCTGACGAGAGAGGTGTTCGGGGAGTTGGAGGGAGCTCGGCAGGACATAATCGGTGTCCCTCTAAGCTGCGTTGGTGTGAGCTAGCTCACAGCTTTTAAGCCTCCGGCTCACAGATTTTTGTCTTAGCTCAGGAAGGAGGGCTCCAGAGCAAACTAATTGATGCAGTAGTCAAATTACTCGCTCACAGCTTTAATGCCAGTAGCTCACAAAGTAGAATTTTTCTCACAAAACACCACAGCTTAGAGGGAGCATTGGACATAATGCCCTAGAGTTGACCCTTCAAATCAACCATTTTCTCCAAGGAGAACAGTTTCCTGGAGGCGAGCGGTTATTCTGGAAGATCCAAAGATACCACCTGGAGATTGGCTTCCCTAGGGTTGCCAGCTCCAGTTTGGGAAGTTCCTCGGAATTTTGGGGGTACAGCCTAGGAAGGATGGGGTTTGGGGAGGGCAAAGAGCTTGCCAGGATGCCATGCCGTAGAGGCACCCATCTCCTCCAGGGGGACGTGCAGTCTGGTGGCTGTTGGTGGGCGTCCCTAGGTGGGAGCACATCCGGCCTGTGCTGAAAGCGCTGCACTGGCTGCCTATAGCATACCGGATTCGCTTCAAAGTGCTGGTGCTTACCCTTAAAGCCCTATATGGCCAGGGTCCGACATACCTGAGGGACCGCCTTTCCCCACATATGCCCCAAAGAGCACTTCGGTCGGGGACACAACATCGCCTGGTGACCCCAGGGAGGCCAGGCTTACTGCAACTAGGGCCAGGTGCTTTTCAGTGGTGGCTCCTACCCGGTGGAATGAGCTCCTGTAGATCAGGACCCTGCAGGACCTTTTACAGTTCCGCAGGGCCTGCAAGACAGAGCTCTTCCGCCAGGCTTTTGAGTAGCAGCCGCCACTACCACTACCACCATTGGTAGACCTGAGGGGTGGCCCCATGAAGGGGTGGCAACCATGACTTCGCTGTGATCAGTACCGTTGGATGGGGTCAAGTAACATCTATGGGTCTTTAATCTCCCTATTGCTATGTAAGATACTGGGGAGTCCATCTTGCAAATTTGATTCCATCTTGTTAAATTTTGATTGTAATTACTGAGCACTTTAATGTTGATCGCATTATCTTGTTTTTATGCTGTTTAATGCTTTGGCACATGGTACCCTATTGTAAGTCGCCCTGAGCCCGCTTGAGGGGAGGACGGGGTAGAAATGTAATAATAAATAAAATGATTTGCAAATCATGGGGATCCCCAGGCCCCACCCAGAGGCTGGCATCTCTAGGGTTGGCAGCTCCAGTCTGGAAAATTCCTGTAGATTTTGGGGTACAGCCTGGGGAGGGACTGGGGCTCAGCAGGACATAATGTGGGACCATCCATCCTCCAAAGCTTCCCTTTTCCTCCAGGGGAACTGTAGTCTGGCGACAAGCCGCAATTCCAGGGGATCCCCGGGCAGTGTTCCCTCTAAGCTGAGTCAGTGTGAGCCAGCTCACAGTTTCTTAGCCAGCGGCTCACACGTTTTTGTCTCAGCTCAGGAAGGATGGCTCCAGAGCAAACTAACTTACGCAGCAGCCCAATCGCTCACTCACAGCTTGAACGCCAGGAGCTCACAAAGCAGAACTTTGACTCACAGGACTCCACAGCTTAAGAGGGAGCCGCTGCTCCAGAGCAGACTAATTGATGCGGTAGCCCAATCGCTCGCTCACAGCTTTAGTGTCAGCAGCTCACAAAGTAAAAATTTGGCTCACAAGACTCCACAGCTTAGAGGGAGCGTTGGTCCCCAGGTCCTCCCGCCTGGAGGCTGGCACCCGCCCCAAAAGGAAAAGTGAACCAGCGGGGAAACACGGGAGGCTCCTACGATCTGCGGCGGGTGCGGGTGTGTCTCTGTGTGCGGCAGTTCCCTTGCAGGCGAGAGGGGCCGCCCAAGCTCCCTCCTCCTTCCCCTGGCAGAGTCCTCCTCCTCGGCAGCTCCCGCCCAGGGCCAAGCGGGGCCCTTCCCCACCGGAGCCCCGCAGCCGCCAGGCCCCCCCGGCTCACCCGCAGTGTGGAAGCGGCGCCGCCCGGCCG